GCAATAAGGAGTTAGACTCGCTCGACCAAGTTTTTTCTATGGTTCAAAATGCGTCAGTGAATCTTGGTACTGAGAGTACGTTGGAGAAACAAGTTTTTTCTCACAGGGAGATAGTGGGACTGATAATCGAGGAGGTCGGTCCAGGGGACGAGGTAGAGTGCGCGGAGGAGGTCGGGGGCAAAGGGCTTGTTATAATTGTGGTGATCCCGGTCATCTGCGTAACCAATGCCCACAACTCTCCGACCATAGGAGGTTTGCTAATTCTGCCTCTAAACCAGAAGGGACGGTTATGATAACTGAGGAAGAGATGGCTTTGTTTAATCAGTTGAAGTTGTCTTCCTCGCAGTCTCCCGCTAGTCCAGGGTCATTGCCGTCTCCGTCAGCTACCTTTGTTCAAACAGGTAATCCTATTGCTTGTGTTTCCTCCTCGTCTCGACAGTGGGTCATTGATTCTGGAGCCAGTGACCACATGTCAGGTAATCTAAGTATGTTTTCCGAATATTGTTCCCTTAAATATGGTCCTACCGTTACCTTAGCAGATGGTTCATCTACCTCTGTTTTAGGTAAAGGTAGTGTGAGTGTTAGTTCGTCGTTACCTCTCACTTCTGTGTTATATCTCCCAAAATTCCCGTTCAATTTATTGTCAATTAGTCAAATTACCCGAGACCTAAATTGTTGTGTCATGTTCTTCCCTGGATATTGTCTGTTTCAGGATCTATTGACGAAGACGATTATTGGTAAAGGGAAGGAGGTTGGTGGGCTGTACGTGTTAGAGCGGCTGTCCAAAGATTCTGGAGGTGTTCCGGTTGGTTTATTGGGAAATATGTCCCCGTTGCAGTTGCACTCCCGGTATGGTCATCCGCCTTTGTCTGTCTTAAAGAAGTTGTGTCCGGGGTTAGAATCTCTATCTAGCTTGCAATGTGAGTCATGCGAGCTTGCTAAGCATTGTCGGGTGCCATACCCTCCTAGAGTCAATAATAGAGTCGAGTCTTTATTTCAGTTGGTTCACTCAGATATATGGGGGCCATGTCGAGTAGTATCAAAATCTGGGTTTAAATATTTTGTAACTTTTGTAGACGATTTCTCTAGACACACTTGGCTATACCTCATGAAATCTAGAGATGAGTTGTTTGGGATCTTTTGTAATTTCTGTGCGATGGTCAAAACTCAGTTCAATAAAATGATACAGGTGTTGCGGAGTGATAATGGGACTGAGTATTTTTCTCATTCCTTCTCAAGTTATATGAGTCAGAATGGGATGGTACATCAGTCGTCTTGTGTCAGCACTCCCCAACAGAATGGTGTGGCAGAACGCAATAACCGCCATCTGTTGGAGGTTGCTAGGGCGTTGTTGTTTCAAATGAAAGTCCCTAGGGTTTACTGGGCAGATGTTGTTCATACAGCGTGTTTCTTAATAAACCGCCTACCTACAAGGGTTCTTGGGGGTCAGAGTCCTTGTCATTTCGTCTATCCATCCAAACCGTTGTTCTGCCTCCCTCCTAAAGTGTTTGGGTGTACGTGTTTTGTCCAGGATGTTCGTCCTCAAAGAGGGAAACTCGATCCTAAGTCATTAAAATGTATTTTCCTGGGATATTCAAGTACTCAAAAAGGGTATCGGTGTTACTCCCCGGATTTGGGGCGATACCTGGTTTCTGCAGATGTCTCATTCTTCGAGAATACTCTATTCAGAGAGGAGTTCTCCAGTTCGTCTGATTGTAGTTCCGAGATAGATGATTTTCTGACATATATTGTTACTATTCCTGACTCCGTAGGAGTGGATTCTAGGCCTCCTGTTACGCAGGTCTATCACAGGCGGCCCAGAGAAGGTGATACGCGTGCAGCCCCACCGGTTCCACCAGTAAATCCTCCCTTACCAGAATCTTCGTCGACAGACCAGGATGTCCCTATCGCTGTTCGGAAAGGTACGGGTCGTTGTGTTCGTCCCGTTCTGTCCTTTATGTCATATACCAATTTATCGGCGTCTTCACGTGCTTTTGTGTCCCAGTTAGAGTCTGTTCCTGTTCCGAAATCTTTGAGTCAGGCAATGTCTCATGATGGTTGGAGGCGTGCGATGGTAGAGGAGGTAGACGCCCTTGAGGAGAACCAGACCTGGGATCTAGTACAACTTCCCCCTGGTAAGGTTGCTATTGGGTGTAAATGGGTGTATGTGGTGAAAATGAACCCGGATGGTTCTGTGGCTAGACTCAAAGCGCGCTTGGTGGCAAAGGGGTACGCCCAGACGTATGGTATAGATTATACCGAGACGTTCTCTCCAGTGGCCAAGTTAACTTCTGTGCGGATATTTATCTCTTTGGCAGCTTCGAGTCATTGGCCCTTGCATCAGCTTGATGTGAAGAACGCTTTCCTACATGGCTACTTGCGTGAGGAGGTTTATATGGAGCAACCACCGGGGTTTGTTGCTCAGGGGGAGTCTGGGAAAGTGTGCAAGCTGAAGAGGTCCTTATATGGGCTGAAGCAGTCTCCGCGTGCGTGGTTTGGGCGGTTTAGCAATGCAGTTGTTGAGTTTGGAATGCAGAGAAGTGCATATGATCATACTGTCTTTTACAAACATACTAACTATGGGTGTGTTTTGTTGATAGTATATGTAGATGATATTGTTATTACAGGCAGTGATGCAAGTGGGATTGAGGCGCTCAAGTCTTTTCTCGGATCTGAGTTCCATACTAAGGATCTGGGAGTGTTGAAGTACTTTCTGGGAATTGAAGTTGCACGCTCTAAGAAAGGCATATTCCTCTCACAGAGGAAATATGTGTTGGACTTGCTCGGAGACACGGGGCTGCTTGGGTCAAAACCATGTGATACGCCCATGGATCAAGGCGTAAAGTTACTGGCAGGAGAAGGGGAGCCGTTTGAAGATCCGGAGAGGTACAGGAGGTTAGTGGGAAAACTAAATTATCTCACAATTACCCGTCCAGATATTGCATTTCCAGTGAGTGTGGTTAGTCAATTCATGAGTGCACCGACCCAGACTCACTGGGAAGCGGCGGTTCGGATTGTGAAATATTTGAAAGGTGCTCCTGGAAAAGGGATCCTTTATGCTGACCACGGGTATATGCGTGTTGAGGCGTTCTCCGATGCAGACTGGGCTAGTTCACCAGGTGACAGGAAGTCTATGACAGGTTATTGTGTGTTTGTAGGAGGCAATTTGGTCTCGTGGAAGAGTAAGAAGCAGAATGTGGTGTCACGCTCGAGTGCTGAATCGGAATACCGAGCTATGGCTCATGTGGCAAGCGAAATAGTCTGGGTGCGTAACATTCTAAAAGAAGTGGGTGTTGAAGTGAAGTTACCGGTAGATTTGTGGTGTGATAACTGTGCTGCCATACACATCGCGAATAATCCGGTCTTTCACGAGCGGACGAAGCATATTGAAGTTGACTGCCATTTTGTACGGGAAAAAGTGGAGCAAGGACTCATATCACTTACACACGTTCGGAGCGGTGATCAACTGGCTGACATATTCACGAAAGGATTGTGTAAAAGTCGGGTTTCATATATATGTAACAAGTTGGGCATGTTTGATATCTATGCTCCAACTTGAGGGGGAGTGTTAGCAAGTTGTTAGAGGAAGTCTCCTAACTACCCATTCGAATTTTGAAATAAGTGGTTAGGAGTTCCCCTTTAGCTTGTATATAACCATAGGCCTCCTGTACTCTATTCATTGAGTTCTACGATTGCAATACATATATACACTTCCTTCTTTAGAGTTCAACAACCCTTCATTTTGGGGTCCTCCCCTTCACTTCCGAGCTAGATTCTCTCTCTATACACTCTTTCATCTCCCTTCTCTCTACAAGCATAGAAGAAAAACATGAATAAAAGAACTCTTGAGCTACATTTCTCTTGTCTACCCTATTGTTCATACATACATCATGGTTCATACATACACTCTACATACACCGCGGAATTACCCGTATCAGGTTTATAACTTTAAGTAATCATATTTTTCAATCGGGTTTTAGTAAAGTCATAAACCAATTAAACTGGTTGAAACAAAAAAGATCATTACTAAAAATAGAAAAATTCATGAGAAGAACTAAAAGTGTCCAAAAAATAATAGTCTAAATGTTAAATGGCAACAACGATTGTCTGAGACTAAATTTAAAATTGCTACAAAAGATATTTGGTGGAATTAACTCTTACCTTGTTTTAAATGTATTAGATACATTCATGTAGATCGATCGCAATTCAAGTTAATTAAAGCTTTGGAACTAAATTGTGCATTGTGCGCCAACTACCAGATTAAACATAACAATGATTGAGTCTATAATCATGTAAAATATATTTGATTGTACATAATAGTATAGGTAACAACAATATTGTATATCGCACATAATTGTATTTGGTACAATGGACACTGGTGCATATTAATGGTATAGTCGAAATATATCTTATAAATACCAGATAAAGAATATTGGCTCTGTTTGGTAAAAAAATTAGCCTATATGTTAATTTTAATTTATTTGACCACTATTAATTAGTTGATTTAATTAAAATATCAATATAAATGTTTGGTTAATTAGCTTTTTGCAACTCTAAAAAGGTTAAAATTAAAAAAGCTACTCCAAACAACTTTTTCAATTAGCTTTTTGAGAAAATAAATTATACCAAACAGCTATCAGCTAACAGTTAATTTACCAAACACTTTTTTTACAATCAACTAATGTTATAAATTATTTATACCATATAATTAACACAATCAGCTAACAGCTATCAACTATTAGCTAACCGTCATTTTACCAAACATGGCCTATTATATTTAAGATAGGATCGATCTCAATATAGAGCACTAGAAAATTTTGTTAAATACTGGATTACAAATATTATCAATATGATGATTGTATTTAGCATGATCCGCTTATTGAAGTAAAATTCAATTCAATAAATAGCATATAAAAATATGTTATAGATATTTAAAAAAGAAAAGTGAAATTGAGGGGCACTTTTGCAAACAAGAAGGTTATGTATTTTAGCCTTTGGACTATATTGCTCTGCGGTCACATGTCCCGTGGCTGCCGGCCCAGGTCGGGTAACAAAAAGCGCCGTCTAATATGAAGGCGACTCCGCCGGTTTACAAATCTCTCTCTCCCAACTTCTAATACTCTCTACGGTCTACTCTAAATCAGTCGCAGTAGTGAATCTGCTCATCCTCGAAGAGTTCAACAGCTATTCCTCATTGCTCATTCGATCTCTCTTCCGTGGTAATCTCTTACTCTCCATCTTTGAGGATACTCCCTGCCTTCGTGTGTATGTGCATATTCAGTATTATTTGGCGCAATGCCGTGTAAATTGCTTGAATATGTTTGGAATTCTTACTTGGAAGTCAACTACCGCGATCTGTAGATTTGCGTCTGGCTGAGATCCTTATATCTGTATGTAGAGTGTAGACTGAGCAGTATTTCTCTTTGATCGGTATAGTACTGTGTGTTCTGATCGATCCTGTTTGAAGAGAATGACCAGATCTCGAGACTGATAAGCTTTTGAGCAAATTGAGCACTACTTTATATATTATAATAGTTGCTAATTACTAGTAATTATTACTTAGAAATTAAATGTCGGTGTTGCTGATAGGCTGGAAGATAACAAGGATCTCTTTTTTTTTTTTTTCTTTTTTTTTTTTTTTTTGGGGGGGGGGGGGGGGGGGTGTTGGGTGGGTGGGTGCAGTGTTTACAATCGAGGCTTCACTGGGAGGTTTGAGTTTTTTTCTCTCCTTTTGTGTTTAACAAATAGTGGCTTGAACAAGATTTATTTTATTTTAAATCTGGAAAAGTAAATTTTATGTCCTTTTTTGAGTTCAAGTTTTTATATGGTGATGACCATCCACTTTCATTGCCCTTTGTGCTCCAAATCATAGATGTGGTATTGTGTACAATTGGAAGTTTTTCCCTATTGTATGATGTTAACTATTCTGGATAATTTGTTTTGGCTGAAATGTATAGATTAATGTCTGTTTAAATATATTAATGAATCTTCCCTGATCACTCTTTACCATTTAGGCATTCAAGTGCCAATGATGTCTGAGAAGGCTATGGGAGATCTTAATATACTGCCTGCAGCTGGGAAGATGAATGAAAGCTCCAGTAATGGAAGCATATCGAAGACACAGGCTGAGCATGGTGTTGAAAGATGTCAAGAAAATGACAAAGAGAAAACTGTTTCCGTAGTTCAAAATGGAGATGGCAAGCATAACTCTGGAACAGAAGCAGGAAATTCAGAAGTTGAATACATTGAGTCAGAGAATCTAAATGATGTAGAAGATGTAGATACGAGCCTGAAGGTATCCTAATAGACTATTCTATTCTGCTTTAAATAATGCTTGTTTAAATTTTTGAGCCAGTTCATTAGGTTTGCTATCTTCTTCTTTTTTGGGTATTGTTTTCTAGACACTCTTGGCGGGTCTGGACTCCAAAGACTGGGTTTTGGTGTGTGAGGCACTCAATGATGTACGCCGTTTGTGTATATTTCACAAAGAAACTATGCTTGACATGTTGTAAGTCTCCTTTTAATAATGATGGTATAAGATTGATATCTGGTAGTTATACTTCACTGCATATGGTGGAATTTTTTTGTACACAATCTTGTATGATTAATTTCTCTAAAATGAAACAGGGAAAAGGTATTCTCCCTAATTGTGAAATCACTGAAAAACCCCAGAAGTGCTGTTTGCAAAACTGCAATTATGACATCTGCTGACATTTTTAAAGCATATGGTGAAAGCATAGTTGATTCAATGGATCCAATGGTAATTTAAATTCTTCCCTAAATCCATTTTCCGCTTGTGTTGCACATAGTTTCATGACCATTTTGACACCTTGAGTAATTCTTGCTTCAATATGCCATTACTTAGCTTGTTCAACTTCTTCTGAAATCGTCCCAAGACAAACGATTTGTTTGTGAGGCAGCTGAGAGAGCCTTAATAGCGATGACGACTTGGGTTGCTCCAGTTCTATTGTTACCTAAGCTTCAACCTTATCTAAAACATAGAAACCCTCGAATTCGAGCAAAGACATCAATGTGCTTCTCCAGAAGTGTACCAAAACTGGTAAGAGTTGCATACTCTCTTCTTTCTCTACTTATTTTTCTTGGTTCTTTGCATCTGGCTCCTATTTGTAAAGTAAACAGGAACTTGATAATGGGTTCTGGAGTCTAGACTCTTTATTTATTTATTTATTTATTTATTTTATTTATTGATGTGAATCTTTCCCTTGTAACCCTTGTCTTCAATGCTGTGATTTGTGTATCCTGAGATTCAACCATTTCACGTGAGGACATGAATGGAATAAAAAGCAAGAGAATATGCTTTGTTCCTTTTTTAGGAAATGAGTTTGGATCTTTCACTTGTTTTGTTTTCAGTAAAATATGCTATCTTGTAATGGTGTGATTGATGCTTTGCAGGGAGTTGAGGGAATTGAAGCTTATGGTCTTGACAAGTTGATCCAAATTGCTGCATCTCAGCTTAGTGACCAACTTCCTGAGTCTAGGGAAGCTGCCCGTGCTCTTTTATTGGAACTGCAAAGTGTCTATGAGAAGAAAACAACAGCAGTGACCGAAGAAGATCAAGAAACAACTTCTTGGGAGCAATTTTGCCAATCAAAGCTCTCACCTTTGAGCGCTCAAGCTGTCCTTCGAGTGACCAATGTTCCTAGGGAGGGTCTTGTGCAGGGATCCTAACAAATTACACAAGCCGTAGCAGGTTTCTTTGGCTTTCCTTGTGTTTTGGGTTCATTTTCTTATACCTGTACATACCATGGAAGTTTGAGATGATGAGAGGCGGTTGCAGCAGCATTTAGTTGATTCTATAGATCCTATAGTAAACTAGCATATACGGTCACCTTTATTGCTATTTGTTGTCGGATTAATATTGTTGCGATTTTGCATCTTGATTGTTCTGTCTTTTATAATATTAATTAACGATTGATAAGCTGGACATCCTAATATTATTAATCTTGAGAAGTTGGCTTGATAGAAAGCAAAAGATGGAAAGCCATTTTTTAGATTATTATCAATTTCTGTTTCATTATTGAAATGATATTCTATCGTTTTGCTTCGATCACTCATCCACTCTCTATTTCTGAATTGAAAAAGGATGGAAGGTAGGTTGAAGCTGAGAAGAAAAGCTGTATTTGGTGCTGACGTGCCGGATCCGGTAAGTTTCACTTTTAATGCCACACTAATCAAGATAAAAAGGGAAAATTGTTTAATTATCACGTCATGTAACGATTAGTTCTCTTTAGTTTATTGGATAGGTAAGAATTTACTTAATTAGTTCGTTCAACAATGAAGGAAGTCTTACCTTAGTAAGACGGAGTTGGACTTTGTAATAAGGCTGTGCGTATCAAATGAAAACACAATGAAATTGACATTGAAAGTTTACCGACCGTAATTATCAAGTTTGTATTTGAATATCATAAATTTTATTCTCATCGATACTCTATTGAATGTAGCGATTTGTTTTCTTTAATGTATTGGGTACGTAAGAAATGACGTTTACTTGGTTAATTAGCCAGTTCAACAATGAACAAAGTTCATCTTAAAACGGCAACAAAGCTGTGCGTTCAAATCAAGTGGTGACGTGACAGGCAGAATCGCTTTGACAATCGACATGACTAAGGTTGGACGAAGTTTCCATCACAATTCACAATGTTCTTTTTCCACCATTGAACATGCCACTTCTTGCTTTCTGCCGAATCAAATAAGACGAGGACCAAGAGACAAAAGAAGACACCAAATTACCTTAAATAGGTGCTTAAATAGGTAAACATGATTTTTTATAATTAAAAGTTTAATCACATAAGATCTTCTTAATGTTATTATGGAGTATTATATTACATATATATGAGTATTTTAATGCTGAAATATAAAAAGATTTAGGGAGCATTTAGTAAACTTATCCAAAAAATTACTTTGAATAGGTTTTTGAATTTTAACATTTTAGAGAAATGTAATAAAAAATTAATTAATCAAACACTCATATTAATTATTTAATCAAGTCAAACAGTTAATAGTGATTAAATAAGTAAAAATTGATTGATATGGTAACTATTTTACCAAACATGAATGAAAATGAAATAAGTATGGAAAATGGATTTTTGTGATTGCCGTGCCTACAAAAAGGCCTCCATACACGTGAAGATAGCCAAGAAGACAAAGATCATATGATGTCTTCTCATCATAATCCACATGTTGTTCTTTTCCCATTCATGTCTAAAGGCCACACCATCCCGCTACTGCAGTTGGCTCGCCTCCTCCTCCTCCGCCGCGGCGTCGCCCTCACCATCTTCACTACTCCCGCCAACCGCCCCTTCTTCTCCAAATCCCTCTCCGATGTCGTCGACGCCATCTCCCTCATCGACCTGCCATTCCCGGAAAACATCCCCGGCGTGCCGCCGGGAATTGAGAGCACCGATAAACTCCCTTCCATGTCCCTCTTCCCGGCTTTTGCCGCCGCCACCAAGCTCATGAAACCTCACTTCGAACGGGCGTTGAACGCTCTCCCTCCCGTTTCCTTCATGATCACCGACGGCTTCCTCGGCTGGACTCTCGACTCGGCTAACAACCTCGGAATCCCCCGCCTCGTGTATTTCGGTATGAGCTACTTCTCCTCCGTCGTGTCCCGCTCCGTCACTTCCGCTGGCCTAATACTGAAACCAAACGGCGACGACGAGGCGTTCACGGTGCCGGATTTTCCATGGCTCAGTGTCACCAGAAACGATTTCGATGCCCCGTTTCGAGACAGAGAGCCCAAAGGCCCACTTTTCGATTTTGTAACGGAGCAAATGGTGGCCACTGTAAACAGTCACGGTTTGGTGATGAACAGTTTCTGCGATCTCGAGCATGTTTATATGGAATTCTATAACCGCAACCTGGTGCCCAAATCATGGCCCGTCGGACCTTTCTGCTTGGCAGAGCCGCGGAGAAAACCCCCGCCGGAAAATCAAGAAAAGCCGTCCTACATCAAATGGCTGGACGGGTTTCACGAACAGGGGAAGCAAGTTCTGTACGTGGCATTCGGGTCTCAAGCGGAGATATCCCCGGAGCAATTGCGGGAGATTAAAGTTGGGTTAGAGGAATCCGAAGTGAATTTCTTGTGGGTGGTTAGAACCCACGAATCGGAGCTCGATGGGTTCGAAGACAGAGTGAAGAACAGGGGATTATTGGTACGGGAGTGGGTTGATCAGAGGGAAATTCTCGGCCACCCGAGCGTGAACGGGTTCGTGAGCCACTGCGGGTGGAACTCCGTATTGGAAAGCATATGCGCGGCGGTTCCGATAGCGGCGTGGCCGATGATGGCGGAGCAGCACCTGAACGCGAGGATGGTGGTGGAGGAGATGAAGATCGGGGTGAGAGTGGAGTCGTGCAATGGGTCGGTGAGAGGGTTTGTGAAGTCGGAAAGCGTGGAGAAGGCGGTGAGGGAATTGATGGAAGGAGAAATTGGTAAAAGTGCGAGGAAGAAAGTTAAAGAGCTCAGTAATTCCGCCATTAACGCCATTAAAGAAGGTGGCTCTTCCTGGCTCAAATTAGATGAGCTCATTAACGAGTTTCATGCAAAAATGAAAAAGAATCCTGACATGTGATCTGACGTACACATCTGCTCCAGTACTCCCATAATAATAAAGGAAAACAGTAGAATTATTTCCTATTATCATCTTATATTTTTAGTCTCATATTTTGAATATGAACACTTTTTTTTTTGGAATTTATCTGACAAAAATAATCTATCTTTTTTTGGAACACTTTACTCCCATGTCCGCAAGTTTAAGGTTTTCTAGGGAGAACATTGAGTTTGTCTCTTAGATCATTTAGCCTTGCTATGGTTAGTGACTTGATGAATATGCATGTCAGTTGGTCTTTTTGTAGAGAGGTAGCTTCTTTGTAGTTCTTTTGATGCTACTTTGTTCCATTAGTACCAAATTGCTCTCTATGTAGGAGGTTGTGGGTTCGAGCCTCAGTGGAAGTGGACAGATACTACATTGTAACAGAGTCAAATAAAATAATCCAAAATTTTCAGCTGCAGGACAGAACCGGAACACTCATCCCGAGCACAGCTACAACGGAACACAAGTTGAGTAGTTGAGTCTTCCAGAACATATAGTTGCGGTGGTTTTTTTGGTAGGGTTTGTAGCCATGGATCATTTGGTCTACTAATACCAAATGAGAATAATAATTCTGTAAATAATTTTATTATTGCTCAATCCATGAAGATTTAAAGTACATGATCAAGAGATGTATTTATAAAGATACAAAGAGTCCCCGTCAGAAAATGAATAATAAATAATAATATTCCTTCTCCCATAAATGATGATAATATTCCTAATAATATAAGAAGAGGGAGAATAAATTATAGTATGCGAATAAAGAGTCGTAATAAATCATGGCAGGATGATGTTATTAGAGAAGATTGGAAATGATATAATTATTCACATGTCATGCTAATATTGTCATTATTTATTTGTTTAAATATTTTGGTTAAACATTCAACTAATAACGTGTCATACACTCATATATGATATTTTTAGAAAATATATAGCAAAAAAAAAAAAAAAAAAAACTACTCAACAAAAATCACAATAATATAAAGTGAGCAACGATCAACAAGTAACAATTTTATTTTTTAATTTTTAATTTTGTTAATTGTAGGTTAAGTAATTTCTAAATCGTATGCCTCAACATTCAACAATAAGCCTTCACCTTTATTGTCATATATTTTGTTTTATAGTTTGGGAAGAATATATTTTGTTTTATATTATTTCAAACGATTGTTATACATGTATAGTAGTTAAATTTGTGGCCTATATTACTCCATGAAAGAGACATTGATATTTGCTCCACTTTGTTAACCGCTATTTCTTGCATAAAGTAATGAGCGCCGGTCAATTTTGATGTCTACACGTAGGGTACTACAGTCTGTCATTCGTCTAAGAAACCAAAATATAAAATGGAAATTTATAAGTCATAAGTTTCTAGAAGAACATCCATGTGTAACTTTAAGGCCACACGAAATATTGAAAATGAAGCCCCCGAGGCAGTGGCATGTGAAGAACACCTACATTTAAGATTCTAGGCTATACCATAAATAATTTGTAGATAAACTCTACCAATTTAATTAGGCATTAAAGCTAGACACATTCAATTTACACCCTCATGGACTATGGGGCTGATGGCAAATTATAGTCTATTTTATATTGTAGATCCTAGTTCAAAAATAATCTTCAAATTTATAGTTGACACATTATATACTTACAGTTGATAGTTTATATACGTGTAATTATAATATTATGTGTCAGCAATTATCAAGTCAGATTCTGTATCTATAGTTAACACATTTTGTACCTGCAGTTGATAATTTCTATACCTATAATTATCATATTATATGTCATCAATTATCAAGTTATTTGTTTACACGTACAGAAATAGTTAATTGTAGGAACAAAATGTATTAACTGATGGTAAAGAATTTTTATATTAAGGTTCAAATGCAATATGAACCATGGTCCATGGTATAATAATTGGGGGTTGGTTCAGTGGGTTATCAAAAAAAATATATATATTGAGAAGAGAGGTTCGGTTTACATCCTCGTGGACTTTGGGCTAGTTCGGTGGGTTATCAAAAAAAATAAAAAAAAATTTACAGCTGCCAATTTTACTATCATTGCTCCAAAGTCATATCCTTGCAACTGCCATTATTTGGCATATTCCCTCAAATAACATTGTAAAAGTTTTCAATTATTGTATATTGCAAAAGTATGTTAGAAATGAGAAATCTCACCACATCTCACATTTTTGTTTTACTCTTTACTTTCTTTTTGGCTTGAAAGAAGCCAGCTTTGGCCGGCAAATCTTGATATGCTTAAATTACTATGTGAAATGGACTTCTTGGACTGTGTTGCCAAACCTGTTACAATCAGTGTCACAAACATTTATGAACCAAAACAACATTTCTGTAATAACAAGAGATCAAACTCACCACTGGCTTTCCAAGATTGGAAATAACTCGACTTTTCAACCATTTGAAGCAATGCAGCCTGCACTTGAGATAGATTGTTAACAGGTGATGTTGAAGACCCCTTTACAATGGCTGAAGCCTTTCTCAGTACCTGCAATAGGTGTATAAGTGGATACCTCAATACAATTGCGGCTATCTTCATCTTCATCTCAGTTAAAGACGTATATCTTGGATTTTCACTGCCTTCATCCATGGGTTGCGTTCTCAAGATAGATATGTTATCAGCACTGAATAACCCGGGTTGTGAAGGTGGAGATTGGGGCGGTTTTCTGGAAAGCAACTGTTACGGTGAAGCGTTTCGTGACTACCTTTATGCATTGGGACTAAGAGCAAATCAGACAGGACAGTTATACCTGAATTCCACTGAGCAAAAGAATTGCTTTACTGAAATGAAGAATCATGGGGTAGATTTCTTGAGCTGTGGAACCGATAAGCTAACATCCGGTCGTGGTGGTTGTTCAGATTTCTCTATCCATGATGTCAAAATCCGGTTGGGGGCCGATCTCAGTAGTTTGAATGAGAGCTGTGGATTCCCGGGTAAGCCCGATCAAGGGGGTCAGTCATGTGGTTCCTGTTTAAATAGCTGGAAACAGATAAAAGGGCTGCACTTTCAAGATGGCAAAAATATGGAGGTTGAATCTGATATATGTAGGTTTGCGGTTTTGGTGTCACTAACAAGTGGCATTATTGAACATAAGATGAGGGTTAGGAATCTTTATAATTGCCTTGAGAATCAGCAGACTGATATAGGCAAGCAATCTAATTTGCACTTGCTTCAGTTCCTGGGATAAAATTATTGGCTACAACAGTAAATGGCAATAGAGTTTCACTAACCTTTCCTCGGTTTATATGAATGATCGTTGCAGATTCTGTAGCAGAAGAGCAAAAAGAGAAGCCGAAATCTAGACAAGGTGATTCTCCCACTTGTTTATCTTTTGCTTCTGTTGCTAAAAATCTAAAATGAAAGATACTCTCATGAATAGAATATCAATCTTCTTGCTAAACAACAGAATTCAAACAGGCCTTTTTGTACTGATTGGAGGCGGTATAGCATTCGTGGTGGCAGTATTTATCTATGTGAGCATTCTTATTAAAAAACGACAGACATTAGATCTGCCAATCAAGAAAGCTGGTATGTATGCATCATTGACTCTTCATATATGCAAGAAGTGTCTAATTAATGCAACGCAAAATTCATAGCAAACTGCTAATTACTTTGCCAGAAAGGAAACTCGAATTACCAGAGGACTCCGGTTATCTAAAAGTGCCCGTTGAGGATATCTATTCTGCCACAAACAATCTTAACGAGTCCAATTGCATTGGTGAAGGCACAGCAGGTAAGCATGCAACTCATTCTGTTAGTATATCAGAGTCTTAAGATTCTGAAACCGTTTCAACCTACAATCAGGAAGGGTGTACAAGGGCATTTTGTTCGATAACCAGCATGTTGCAGTCAAGCACATCATTAAAGATGGATGCATGGAGACCTTTCTTAGGGAAGTCAGAAGCTTAACACACGTTCGTCATCCAAACCTGGTCGCCTTGCTAGGTTATGGTAAAAATGACGAGGAATGCTTCCTGATTTATGAACTTTGTCCCAATGGCAATCTAGCACAGTGGCTTTTTGGTACTCACTCTCTCAACTTTAAAGGGTCAAATCCCATTGTCCATCTTTCTTCTTTATGCTGATCTGATAGCTGCTGCTAACAGGAATGGATACAGCTCTATCCTGGATTAAGAGGCTCGAGATTGCTATCAATAGTGCTCAAGGTCTTCGGTTCCTCCATACATACCCTGAAGGCAGCATCATCCACCGTGACATAAAGGTTAGTAGAATGCAAGAAAGATTGCAAAAGTACTAAAGTTAATCTATCAGAAGAATCTGAAAAAGATATCTTGCATTTTACAGCCAACAAACATCCTCCTAGGAAAGAATCTCGAAGCAAAGCTTTCCGACTTTGGCCTGTCAAAAGTTATCGATCAAGGTAAATCCTATGCGAGCTCAGAGGTGAGAGGAACCTTTGGTTATGTTGATCCAGAGTACCAATGCAACAGACGAGTAAATTCAGCAGGCGATATCTACAGTTTTGGAATTGTACTTCTGCAAATCCTCTCTGGAAGGAAGGTTATAAATATGAATATGGCAACACCAGTACCACTGAACAAAATTGTAATCACTTCTAACTACTCTTTTGTCCCATTTCTATTATGCTAAAATATGCAGCATTATTAGTTACCCTTTCTGCCTTACCAGGCCAAATCCATTAGTACTAGGGAAGGCAGCACATTCGGATTCGTTGATCCAAGACTCCATGGAGAGTATTCAGTAGAGGCTTTTGAAGCCACATTTGACCTAGCTCTGGCATGCACTGCACCAACGCATCAAAGGCCTTGTATCAAACAAGTTGTCACAAAATTAGAAGAGGCCCTTGCCATATCAATGAAGGCAAAAGCATCAAGTCCTCAATTTTAACAGTATATATATATATATATATATATATATATATATATATATATATATATATATATATATATATATATATATATATATATATATATATAGCAACTAGGATTTATTGGAAATTTTTTAGTTAATTCTCCTTAGCAATTAACATGAGTGATAATGTCTTCTATTGAACCTGTTCTAGAGTCAGATGTATGAATGTTGTTTTTCCAGATATCATAAACTATTTCTAGAGAATTACAAAAAGGACAAAATCTAAACCCTCAAAAAAAAATAAATCAAAACAGGTGGTTTGGTAGGCTCTTCATCTGGAACAGCAACTCTGCAAGTATTAAATTAAACCTACATTATCAGCCTGAAAAATTAGAACTTTCAGTCAATAAGTATTAAAACTACCAAGAAAAGCAGATTATTAAATAATATAAGTACTTAAATTCGGCAAGGAAAGAAGATAAGAAGAGACTACGTTAGGAGACCAGCAATCAAAGCTCCGTAGGTTCTTATGAGCGGGGAAAACCAATTTATTTATATTCCCCAATTTTCACCAAAATTCTATTGCGTGGATGACATCTGACTCGGAAAAAATCATCAGAAACGAGAAGGAAAGGAAAGTATATCACATTATCACCGATCAAGGAGGTGGGTAAGCCCGAAACAGAAACCGGAAATTCACACGAATGGGAAGAACACAGAGATTTCCGGTGACAATGAAACAGAATTACAGTGCGGAAGGGAGAATGCGAGTGAGAGAGAACAAAGACGAGGCGGAGACGGCGGAACCGCGGAATGGAGCTGCAGTTGGGAAGCAAGCGCGCGAAGATCAACGGCAATACAATACGGGCCGGACTCTTATTGGGCTTGAAAATCATGGGCTTTCTTCTTGTGAGAACTGGGAAGAAACTGGGCTGTGAAAGTGGGCTGAAAAGGTGTCCAGTAAAGAGATCCCAGTTTCAAGAGGCCCATTAAAGGTACACGCTCAATTCGCGCGGGAGAGAACGAAGTCGGTATAATTTCGGTAACGGAAAACTGAAAAGAAATAATACTCTGAATTATTATACACCTTCTCGTCATATTTTATTTATCTAATTCGATTAATTATACTTAAAATTATTTTTAATTTTTATTAAATCTAGTATTAATATATAAAATTTATATACCAGGACTATGTGGTCTAATGGTATCCGGGTTGGACTTTCATTTGGAAGATTGTATGAAAGATTGTAAGTTCGAGCCTCAGTAGAGGCGTTATTAGCTCTTTGTATTTCAGTAGGTTGAGAAAGTATATGAACAGATACTACAATGTAATAGCGCTAGTAGCATTCAAAAAAAAATATAAAATTTATATATTTAAAAATTATATTAAAAGTATTATTTATTGCGGAAAAATTAAATTTAAAAATAATTAAAATTGACTAGAAAAAATAAGTAAGAAAGAGTTGGAGCTCCACGCGGGCCGCATGATGCGTCCTCCATCTTCCTTCAGCCAACCGAACTTCTTCTCATAATCGAAGAATTCTATTGAGATCGAAATTCATATGATAACGACAATCGTAAATTATGTTGAGAATCGCAAGTAATAATCAAAACTAGGAGTTTGCGTCACTCTCAGTCTCACTTCATCTATTTTGATTTACCAAACAGGGACTTCGCACCTGAATCCATGGCTGATGCTACCGAAAACTCCGCCGAATCGAAGCTTAAAGACGCCGGCGCCGCCGCAGCCGGTGGAGTTTCCACTATCTATCGTGGATGGTTTTCTGAAATCAGTCCCCTGTGGCCCGGTTCGTACTATCTTCCTCTCCTCCAAACCTGATTTTATTTTCATGGATTGCTACTGTATTTTATTCCACAGTGTATTTGTTTTTTCCTTATTTTATTTTATTTTTGTCGCTATATGTTGACTGTTGAGGATTAATTTGAGAAGAATTTCCCAACTGTTCTAAGTTGTTGACTGTTGAGTGTAAATATTAATAAATAAATAAATAAGGGCGCATGTGTTCATTTGCACGTTGAGGATAATTATAAAACTGATAATATTTCAATACTATTGAGTGTGTTTTGAGTTGCAGGGGAAGCGAACTGCTTGAAGATGGAGGAAATTATTTTCCAGCAAAAGTCTAAGTACCAGGACATTCTGGTGTTTAAGGTGCCAATAGTTTGTTCTTGTGGAAACATATTAAGTTTCATTTCTAAGTGATACGGTATCCAACTTCTAAGGTGGCTTTGTTTTGTTGTTGCAGTCTGGGACTTATGGAAATGTTCTTGTACTGGATGGTGTAATCCAAGTTACAGAGAGGGATGAATGTGCATACCAAGAGATGATTGCGCACCTTCCACTCTGCTCTATATCAAATCCGAAGAAGGTTCTCTTAATATCTTGTGATTAGTAGATTCTATTGTTGCCTTAGATTTGACATTGAATAGATATAAATGTACTTCTATGGATGCCATGGAAGAATGTATATTTTTGCTTCTACCTCCTTGTGTTATAAATTGTATACATTCTTCAGGTTTTGGTTATTGGAGGAGGAGATGGTGGTGTTCTGAGGGAAGTTTCTCGTTATTCTTCTGTTCAACAAATTGACATTTGTGAGATAGATGAAATGGTGATTGATGTAAGTATTAGTGTATAACAAATCATTCCACACTAAAAATAGTAATCATAAAGTTTTGGTTTTGTTCATGGACACTCTTACTGTATGCTACTTTATTGATGGAAATGAAATGCTGGTTGGTTATGATCATGTAATTGACACTGCTTTCTCTAGTTTGTAAATTTTTTAATTTTTTTTTTTTTTGTATTTTTGAGTTTAATGTATCTGGAACATGAAGGCTGCTCTGCTTATATGAAGAAAGCTTGACCAATATTTGTTGTTTCTGAACATGTAAACCTGCTATTATCATATTTCCTGTTTTTATTTTCCCCTTCTTGTACTTCCCAGGTTGGTAAAAAGTTTTTCCCTAGGCTGGCAATTGGGTATGAGGATCATCGAGTTAGAGTTCATGTTGGTGATGGTAAAATTCAAATTTCCATATTTGTTTAAATTCAGTAACTTATCATTTTCTCCACTGGGTACTTTTATCACCTCTTCCATGCTTTGAGCTTCAAGTTTACTCAATCTTGCAGGGGTTGAGTTCTTGAAGGGTGTTCCTTCTGGTACTTATGATGCTATTATAGTTGATTCATCAGATCCTATTGGTTTGTTTTCTCTACCTTTGACCATTCTCCTAGCTGAATTATATGGTGGGATATCTAACCATTATTAGTTTGACCCTCGTACTGTGGTCTAATGGTTTCAGGGCCTGCAGAAGAGCTGTTCAAGAGGCCTTTCTTTGAATTGGTGGCCAAGGCTCTTCGACCAGGTGGCGTGGTGTCTACTCAAGCAGAAAGTTTTTGGCTTCATCTGGACATTATTGAAGGCATTGCTGCAAATTGCCGCCAGATATTTAAAGGCTCGGTGAATTATGCGTGGACATCAATACCTACATATCCAAGGCATGCTGCCTTTTTGAACTTGACCAATTGTCTATACCTGCATGCGAAAGAGATATTGTATGAATTATCATATCATGTTAAATAGACACGTACTCTTACCACTTTATTATTGTAATTTAATTGCAGTGGGATGATTGGTTTCATGCTTTGCTCCACTGAAGGACCCCCCGTCGATTTTAGGCATCCAGTGCATTCATTTGATGAGGGCGGAAGCCATGACACTGCTAAAGAACCACTGAGATACTACAACAAAGAGGTCATAATCTTTGTCTTATATTAGCCTGTCAATAATGCTAAGTAAGTTTCCCCTACTTCACACTATCATCACATGCCTCTGCAGATTCATTCCGCTGCATTCTGTTTGCCAT